AACAAACTAAAAATTTATATGAGAAACAAGAAATAAAGGAAAGGAATCTAAATATAACACTATAGAAAGTCATCAACATATTTGATAGCAAGACAATAAGAAAGAGACCAAGAACTACAAAAACAATCAGAAACAATAAGATGGAAATAAGTACACACCAATCAATAATTACTTTAAATGTAAATGGACTAAATGCTCTAACAAAAAAAAATTGGACACCCCCCCCCCAAACATCCTTCCAAACAACAACAAAAAAGACATAGGGTGGCTGAATGGATAGAAAAACAAGATCTGTACACATGCTGCCTACCAGAGATCCTCTTTAGATTAAAAGCAGACACAGACTAAAAGTAAAGGGATGCAAAAATACATTTCATGCAAATATAAATGAAAAAAAGCTGGGGCAGCAATATTTATATGAGATAAAATGGACTTTAAAACAAGGGCTGTAACAATAGACCAAAAAAGGGCATTTCATAATGAGAAAGGGATCAGTCCAACAGAGGATATGACTTTTGTAAGCATTTACACACCCAATGTAGGAGCACCTAAATATATAAAGCAAATATTGACAGATATAAAGGGAGAGATCCACAGTAATACAGTAATAGTGGGGACTTTTACACCCCCATTGACATCAATGGATAGATAATCCAGACAGAAAATCAAAAAGAAACAGTGGACTTAAATGACACATTAGACCAATGCGCTTAATTGGTACTTTTAGAACATTTCAACCAAAAGTAGCAGAAAATATATTCTTTTCAAGTGCATATGGAACATTTTCCAGGATAGACTACATATTAGGACACAAAATAAGTTTCAATAAATTTAATAAGTTTAAAACCATACCAAGTATCCCTCCTATAACAACAGTATGAAACTAGAAATCAATTACAATGAAGCCAAGGTAAAAAAAAATCAAAAGATACCTTTAGACAAATTAAAATGAAAACACAACAACCTGAAATCTGTGGGAGACACAGAGAAAGCAGTTCTAAGAAGGAAATTCATAACAATGAAGCCCTACTTCAAGAAACAAGAAAAATCTTAAATTAACAATCTAACCTTACACCAAAAGGCACTAGAAAAAGAACAAAGCCCAAAGTAAGTAGAAGTAAAGAAATAATAAAGATCAGACAGAAATAAACAAAATAGCCTGAAGAAACAACAGAAAAGATTACTCAAACCAAAGGCTGATTCACTGAAAAGATAAACAAAATTAATTAACTTTTAGCTAGACTCACAAGAAAAAAGGAGAGAGGGCCCAAATAAATAAGATCAGAAATAAAAAATAAAAAAAAGAAATAACAGGAGCAGTGACAACTGACACCATAGGAATACAAAGAATTATAAGAAAATACTATGAACAATTATATGTCAACAAACAGGACAATCTGGAAGAAATTGATAAATGCTAGAAACATACAGGCTTCTAAAACTGAATCAGAAAGAAATAATCTGAACAGACAGATAACTAATAACAAAATTGAATCAGTAATCAAAAAACTCCAAACAAACAAAATACCTGGATGAGATGACTTCACAGATGAGTTTTACCAAATATTCAAAGAAGAATTAATACCTATCCTTCTCAAACTACTCCAAAAAAATTGAAGAGGAGGAAAGTCTCCTAAACTCATTTTACAAGGCCAGCATTACCCCAATACCAAAACCAGACAAAGACATTCCAAAAAGAAATAAAAAATCATAGGCCAATATCTCTTATAAACATAGATGCAAAAATCCTTAACAAAATATTAGCAAACTGAATTCTGCAATACATTAAAAAGATCATATACCGTGATCAAGTGGGATTTATTCTCAGGATGCAAGGTTGGTTCAATATCTGCAAATCAATTAATGTGATATACCCCATAAACAAAATGAAAAATAAAAATCATATGATTATATCAATAGATGCAGAAAAAGCACTTGACAAAAATCTAACATCCATTGATAATAAAAACTCTCAGCAAAGTATGGCTATATGGACATATTGTGACATAATAAAGGCAATATATGACAAACCCATAGCGAACATCATACTCAACAATGAAAACTTGAGAGCTTTTTTGTTAAGATCAGGAACAAGACAAGATGCCCACTTTTATCACTTTTATTCATCATAATATTCGAAGCCCTATCCATAGCAATCAGATAAGAAAAAAAATAAAAGGCATCCAAATTGGACAGGAAGAAGTAAAACTGTCACTATTTGCAGATGACATGATGGAATATATAAAGAACCCTAAATATTCCACCAAAACACTGTTAGAACTGATAAATAAATTCAGTAAAGTAGCATGATACAAAATAAATATTCAGAAATCAGTTGCATTTTATACACCAATAACCAACTATAAGAAACAGAAATTAATAAAAACATGCCATTTACGATTGCATCCCAAAGAATAAAATACCTAAGAATAAATTTAACCAAGGGGGTAAAAGACCTGTACTCTGAAAACTTTAAGACATTGAAGAAAAAAACTAAAGATACAAATAAATGGAAGAATATATCGTGTTCATGGATAGGAAGAATTAATATCATTAAAATATCTATACTACCCAAGGTAATCTACAGATTCAATCAATCTCCACTAAAATACCAATGGCATTTTTCACAGAACTAGAACAAACATTTCAAAAATTTATCCAGAACCACAAAAGACTCTGAATAGCAAAAACAATCTTCAGAAAGAAGAATCGAGTTGGAGATATCACACTATATTATATCAAACTATACTAAAAGGTTATAGTAATCAAAACAGCATGATACTGACATAAAAATGGACACACAGATCAATGGAAAACAGCCCAGAAATAAATCCATGTCTATATGATCAATTAATCTATGACAAAGGAGGCAAGAATATTCAATGGGATAAAGTCAGTCTCTTCAATAAACAGTGTTCAGAAAACTGAATACATAGATGAAAAAAAATGAAACTAGACCACTTCATATACCATATATAAGAATAAACTCAAAATGGATCAAAGACTTAAATGTAAGACCTAAAACCATAAAACTCCCAGAAGAAAACATAAGCAGTAAACTCTGTGACACTGCTCTTAGCAATATTTTTTTTGGCTATGCCTCTGGTAAGGGAAACAAAAGAAAAAATAACAAAAACAGATGGGCCTACATGAAACTAAAAGTTTCTGCACAGAGAAGAAAACCACCAACAAAACTAAAAGACAACATACTGGATGGGAGAAGATATTTGCTAGTGGTACATCAAATAAGGGCTTAATATTCGAAATACATAAACTCATACAACTTAACACCAACCCCCTTTTCCCCCAAAGAATACAATTTAAAAATGGGAGAGGACCTGAATAGACATTTCTCCAAAGAGGACATACAAATGGCCAATAGACATATAAAAAGATGCTCAACATCACTAATCATCAGAGAAATGCAAATTAAAACCACTATGAGATATCACCTCAAACTGTTAGAATAGTTATCATCAACACATCAAAAAACAAGTGTTAGCCAAGATGTGGAGAAAAGGGAACACTTATGCACTGTTGGTGAGATTGTAAATTGGCGGAGAAGTGGTTGATTTCAGGGCCAGAGTAAGTAAAACAGAAGATGAGCCTGGTATATCTTATGATGCCGGAAAGTAAGAAAGTGCTAAGAGAAAAATGAGGCAGCATGTCCAAGGCGTGCAGGAGTGGACCTGAAAGAGCTCCCAAGGGTCAAAGCTGGAAGCATATCAGCAAAAAATGAATAACTATAGTATTGGTTTATAATGTAAAATATAAAATAAGTTTCCTTGTGTCCATACTGATATAAATAAGTAAGTGGGGAATAGGGGACAATGTTTTCTTACAGAAGAATTCCAGTTAATAAATGTAGAAGGAATAAGTAAACAGAAAATCCCCACTAGACCACGACAGTTAAAAATGAGGCAGACCTGCTCCACCAATTAAAATTAGTGAAAGAAATTTAAGGAGAAACAAGACATCTGTAAGTCTTAACCTAACTCCCCCCAAATAAATTAATTACAAAGAGAAAAATAGTAACTTTAGAGTGAAGAAATCTGGCAGACACCACTTTAACCAAATGATCAAGGTGAACATCACTAACAAGATGTTAACATCATGTCCTCCCTGATGTGATACAATGAGAAGGACACATCACTTTGGTGGTATTCTTCCCCAAAATGCACAACTTCAATAATTATTTTCTCTTGTCCAAAACCCTCCGTTGGAGGAGAACCATGCATGCAGGTGTCTACTGGGCAGTTAAGCATGAAAGTCTAGAACTTGGGGCAGAGGTTTGGACAAGAGAAAAGCTGGAGAACAGTAAGGGGAAGTCCAAATTCATTCAAGTTCAATTTGCCTTTTCAACACTAAGATCACCCCCAGTTCTCCTTTCCCTCCCCCATGGCCTTACATTTTCACATGAATAGCTGTGAACTGACACAGGGATACACACTTTCACAGAGGTGGCATGCACAGAGGCTGAACATCACACAGGCACATACTCCCACATACTTGTACTCAACCTAGAGAGGGATACACAGGAAACACACACACACACACACACACACACACACACAGGTCTATAGGTCACAGAGGTCCATACACACGTGTTCACACACACACTCATAGGTGACAGAGGTATATAGACACATGCACACACCCAGACACATGTGAATATACCTACAGAGGTCACAAATGCATAATTTTCTAGAGAGGGTGAGGCATGTTTTCCAGTGTATAGTGAAGTCTTTTCATCTACCCCGTGGATGACCTTGACTACAGCAGCCCCATCTGGTCACCGAGCCTCCCTTTGCCATTCATTCATATAAAACCGATTCCGAGAGGACATCTAAAGGCTGCCTCCCCTGGTCTGCTATTCCACACTGCACACATTCATATCCATTCCAGGTAAACCACTGGGAACTGAGCACAACTAATCGGGAGGAAGTGGTCCATCCACCTGCAATTAAAGATCCACAGCCAACAGTGAACTCTCCTCTTACCAAACAGCTTCTGCAGGACCTGTCCGTCATATAAGTCCTCAGCCAGGTCTTTCACAATGATTCTTTCTCCAACCAACACATCGTTAATCCAGTCAATTAATACCTAGAGAGAGAGAGAAAATAAGAGAAGAGTCATAAGGTATTTTCTTATAGACCAGCTTTCTTATCCTGGACAAACACAATCTAAATTAACTTCAGATTCTGAAAGCAGCAAAGCTATCCACAGGACCCAGTGTGTGGACAGGGAGCTGCGAGTGAGCCCCGATGGCCCTGTCAGGGTGCAGGTGTACGCCTTGTAGTGCTGCTGACACACGTGTCCCTGCTAATATTGTCTGGCCCCTACATTCCTTACCCTAATGGCAAGCAGCAGTCACAATGTTTTGTACTGTGGCTTTGTACTGAGAAATCTATGGGCTCTGGAGTTACAATCCCAGCTTCACCCACTAACTCTACGGCCCTCTGTGTGGGTCTCCCTTTGTTCCATGTCTCCCTCCACCCAACCACCTGGCATTTACTAACACCTCCTATATGTCAAACTCTGTGCTGGATCCTGAGGTCTGTCATGATGGAAAAAGAGAAACATTCTACCTCCAAGAAACTCATCATTTAGTGAAGGAGACAGAGAGGTATCACAGGGTGACTACAACGACAGAAGCAAATGTGGAGGTCAGAGCAGCACCCAGAGGGGCTGAGCAGTAACACTGGTTTATAGAAGGCGTCCTAGAGGGTGTGACCCCGCTTTGATCCTGCTCTGAAGAGTATCTGGTCAAAGGCGGCTGCATGAGCAAAGGCGTGGCAGTGGGGGGAGCCAGAAGCAAGCACAGCGGACGGGGGTCCACCATGATCAGGTCTGGTGTCCCTGTGCTGCCAGGCAGGGGACAGTCTGAGGTGAAGAGGCAGCTAGGGCATGAAGGTCCCAAATACCACTCCAGCAGCGTTGGCTTCAGTTGGGAAACTGCATACAGGTTTTGAGCAGGAAAATGATATATTCAGGATTTGCATTTTGAATGAATCACTCTGGCACCCAGTGCCAATCTGTCTTGTTTTAGGTGAACTTAGAGAAGTTGAAGAAGAAAAACATAGGATGGGGAATTAGAAGAGGGAATGAAATGAACATTTTTTGAGGGGTGACCACATGTCAAATATTATGCACAATATTTCATTTAATACCACCTATTCCTGATTGAATTCCACCTCCTCCACTCAGCTGTGACCATAAACATACCACTTGGCTTCTCTGAGACTCAGTTTTCTCATCTGTAAAATGGGGGCTGATACTAATTCCTACTTCACAGGGAGCATTTGAGGGTCCTTAATTAAAGCAGTGAAAGGAGTGTGTGGACTATAAGATCCTGGCAAATGTGAGCTTATGTGCACTAACTTCTCTGGTCCTTATTATCAACATCATTAGTCGGGCATTTGTCATGTCCCACTTTTGTTAAAATTTAGATGTCCGCTTACTGGACCATGAGCTGCCTGCAGGCAGGGGCTGATATAACTTTATTCTCTCAGCAGTGGCTCGCATGATGCCTGCATGGGATGGGGGGTCTATAAACACCTGTTGAGTCTGGGAGGCACCTGAAGCCCCTGATTTCTTCTTACCTTCATCAGTTCTTGAAGTTTGGGGTCGCTGCGTGAGTTTGGGTCCACCATCGTTCGCACTTCATTCTCCTCTTTAAAAAGAAAAGGAAGTCAGTGGGGGCAGTTCCACTGGAAGGCATCGGGGTACCCCAGAGAATAAGAGACCCAGTTACCCAGCATGGTGTCCTCAGGGTCCAGCTCAAAGGGGATGGGGCTGAGGGGCAAGTTGATGGCGTTCATGCCCTCCTCCTGAAGCTCGGACACTGTAAGGAGAGGAGAGCACATGGTCATGTCCCGGCCACTGACTGCAGGGCATCTAACAAATGGGTTTGATACTGACATTGAGAAACAAAACCCCAGGTTAGGTTCTAGCGGTGGCTCAGCCTGCAAGCAATTCCCCACCTCTCTCTGCTAAAAGTTTCCTCGGAGAAATAGGGAGGTCTCTGCCTCCTCTCAGAAACAACCTTGGAATAATGAAAGTGAGGTGGGCACTGATGTCTTTCTTAAGTCTCTGCCTTTTGCCTCCTGCCACCCCTCCTTCTGGAGCCCTCCCAAGGGCTTGCTGTTGGTGCCCAGTGGGTGCCCGGTAACTGTTGAGGGTGAAGGAGCTCCCCAGCTTAAGGCTACTTTTATGTTGCAAGCCATCTCCATCCTCAGCTCAGCCTGTGTGTGCCTTCTCTCCCCGAGTATTTTTCTGATTGTCCTGCTTCCCTCCATCACCCCCCTGGAGCCGCTGCTCGAGCATGTCTCAGTCCAGCCTTTTCCCTGGGCTCTGGTCCTGCCTCTTCAGCTCTAAGGAGCTGTGGGTCCTGGGGCCCGCCTGTCCTGAAAGCAGAGACTTAAATCCTCTCACCTCTACTCAATTCCAGTTCGGATAATTACTTTTTACCAATTATCTGAAAGCGTTGTTCAGCTAAAGGTTCTTAAAGAACTAACATGGCAGCTGCAATCTACCTTAATAGATGCCATGTCCCATCTTCCCGTTTTATTTTATTTTTTTATTGACTCTGGCCTCACCGATTGCCAGTATATACTTGCAAGAACTCTTAAACACAAGGCAGCCGCTTACAAAGAGTTCTTTCATATTAGCAACTCACTGATGGCTGCAGTTGGATGGAGACCGAGATTGCCTAACAAAGGCACTCTACCCCAAAGAGACCCAACTTGCATTATAAAGCTGGTATTTAGTCCCAGGGCTGTGGGCCCTGGACATTTCATATGGGATATCAGCCAATCACCAGCTTGAATCTCCAAATTCACAGACACTCACTACTCTATAAAATTCTCCCCCATAAAACAAGATGAAAAATATAAGTGATGCCTTCAAGACTGAAATGATTCTATAGGTACAGGATTGTATTTGCTTCCTTGAGAACATTTGTTTCCTTAGACTCCTATAATTTCTCCTAATATTCCTCCCAGGACTGGCAGTCTGCTGCTTTTCCAGGCTGTTTCTCACAAAGAAGCGAGATTTCCATCACTTAAGAAGCACTGCTGTGCGAGAATGGGCAGTGGAAATAAAGCCAGGCTTAACTGTGGGCGAGGCTGGGCTTACTGACAGGGGAAAGGGACTCCTAGCCAGGGCCTCCTCTACTCGCAGTCTCCCCCAGGTCTGCACTGTCCAACATGGCAGGGGTTAGCTATTTGCGGCTCATTCAATTTAAATGAATTAAGAATTTAGTTTCTTAGTTGTACCTATTACATTTCAAGTGCTCGATGACTCACTCACATGTAGTTGATGACGACCACACTGGACAGCACATTTGTAGATTTCCATCATCCCAAGAATGGATGGCATTGTCCTAGGTGATCCCATATATCTAAATGCTGATGTCCACCTTTAAATCTCCAGCCTAGACCTGACCTGAGCCACAGGCTTACTCGATGTCTTCTCTTACGTCTATTAGCAGAGGTCTCAAGTTTACACATCCAAAACAGAACCCTGACTTTTAATACCTTCACTCCCACTACAACAAGTCTACTTCCAATAACACAGTCAGAATGATATATAAAGATGTAAATAGGATCATACACTCTCTTGCTTTAAGACTTCCTTTGGTTTCCTGTCATACTCAAAATAAAACCCCAACTCCTAAGACCTAGAAGATGCTCTGATTAGCCCCCTGCCTCCCTCTCACGCTTTGTTTTCTTCAAGCACACATTATAACCTGAATAATCATTATTTACAGGTCTGTCATCTACCTCCCCCCAGAATGCAAGCTCTGGGAAGACTGGCACTTTTTCTCTTTTGTTCACTATTAGATCCCCAAAGAGGAGCCAGACTTCCTAGATTCAGATCCAGGATCACTTACTGGCTATGTGACCTTGAGCAAGTTCATCAACATCTTATACCTCAGTTTCCTTATCTGCAAAGTGGGAATGATAATGATATTGCCTTCCTCCTAGGGTTGTTGAGAAGATTACATGTTTAGAAGAGTCCCTGGCACCTGGTAAGGTCTATCTAAATACATGCTATTATTATTACTTAAAACAATACCTCACACGCAGTAAGCACTCACAAACTACTTGTTGAATAAATGAATAATTAAAACTTAATTAAGACAATCCTTCACTTGCATAGGTTATAAGTTGAAGCACAACTTGCCAAAGCAGAATATAGGAAGCAAAGAAGGATTCCAGTTTGTCCTCAGAGAAAACACATTATATTTTGGCCTGACCCTGTGTGCATGTGTATAGGTGTGCACGTGTGCACATTCCCGGGGCAGCGTTTTCAGCTTACATGTTGGAAGGAGAAAAGCGCATGCATCCGAAGCCTGTTGTACAGCCAGAGCCACTTTGTGAATATAGAGATATTTATACCTCTAAAGTGTGACCAGAAATACAATATTAGCAGCCGGGACTCCTAAAAGTCAGTCTGAACGGGATCTTTTTTACGTGGAGATCATTGTTAAAAATGTTTTCAGATAAAAAATCCTCAGAAACCCTCCCTTCCCCTCTGCCCTGCCTCTTTAAATTCACTCCTAGAGACAAAACGAACACAAGAAGAAAGGCTGAGATATGTTTGCAATTGGAAATGTTTTTTTCAGGAAATGATTTGGTACAGAAACATCATTCCCATCCCATTAGCTGCTGACTTGGAGCCAACTGTTTGTAAAAGTGACTCCGCAAACTGCCCAGAACAGGCCTGGCCCCCGCCCCCCGCCCCCGGGCGGCATTAGTG